CTTGTCATTTCCTCCTCTGTCGCGTCGTTCTCTTCTGCCTCGTCCTGTGACGCCGCCGCCTGCCGGTCCCTTTCTCTTCGGCCCCCGAATCCCAGTGCCCCAGCTCGAGGGGGAGGCGGACCTCCCAACCGCTGGCGACAGCCCACGATGCGACCCAGTCGGCGACGACGAGGACGAGATGAGCATTTGCGACGCCGTCGACGAGGCGGAGGCGGGGTCCAACACGATCAGCCCGGCGGCACGAGGGGAGGCGCTCGACGACGAGGCGCCAGCCGCGACGGCGGCAGGAGGCGAGGCGAGCAGCAGTGCTCCAGGAGGCGAGACGGTCCTCGGGCGGCGCGAGCGAGGGGAGGCGCTCGACGACGAGGCGCCGACCGTGATGGCGGAAGGCGACGAGGCGAGCAGCGGTGCCCCACCAACGAAGCGACCGCGCGGGAAGAAGACCAGGGGCGGCAGGAAAGCAAAGATGGGGGCGCACCAAATCAGTGACGAGCGTGACAGAGAGAGTGAGGGTGTCTAGTCGAGCGTCTTGTGTCGTGGAGGGGTCGAAGTCGAGGCGCATACGCGCCCGACGGAGACTCCTCAGGTGCCTGCGCACCAACCACCCCCCGGTGTTTTGACACCATTATTCGGTATATTAACCTCGCGGCCGCCTAGATAGACTGAAAGAGCTAGACACCGCAGGAGGCGAGGCTGCGGCTGCTGCTGCTGCTGCTGCTGCTACTACCGACGCTAGATACGACCCCCCGCCCAGCCCGCCCGCCCGCCCTGCCCGCCCGCCCGACCGCCCTCCTACCCACCTGGCCGCTCACTCCCATCGCCATACGTGTAGGCGCTCGAGTGCTCCCCTCGCTGCCTACTCGCTGCCTCTGGGGAGGAGGGGAAGACGTAGGGCGTGCTTGCGCGCCTTCCAACGGAGGCCCCTCCCCGAAAGGCAAGTATTAGACGAAACCGAGACCCCTCCCCCCCGCCCCGATCCCCCCACCCCCTTGCTCCCCTCCCCCCCCTCGGGAGGGCCGAACTGAGGCGCCCGTGGGGACCCCACAATTCCCTTCCCCCCTCGGAGGGGGCCGGACGGAGGCGTACCCCGTGGGCCCCGCTCTTTCCCTCGCATAGCGGCCACTCTTCGGATCGCTGGTCGAGCGACCCGGGGGATGCCCCGCGCGCCTGACCCAGGCGCGGAAACGAATCT